GTATCAACTGTAGCGGACATATTACTGATACGCTCCAGCATAAAACTTCGCATGATTTGTGCCATATGAGCGATAAAACAGCAAATGAGCAGCCATACTTGGGCTAGCCTTGCCAAGATTTGTGAAAATTAAATACAAAAAGGCTGCCACAAAGGCCCTCGTTTATGTTGAACGTAAATTGTTGCTATAGACTGCTGTACACACTATCTCGACAATGTAAATTAAGGTACCATATAGTCACAAGCTTACCGGTCGATGGCTTCTCTTGAGATGCCTTGTCATCTCGTGCTTATTGATTTGGACGATATGTAAAGCAAATTCGACATTAGAATGTTGATCGCCTGTACACTGCCTAGTGATACATAATGACATGTTGAGTGTTCCACGAAGAATGTCATCTTACTGTACAAGCATGGTGGTTACTGGAAGCACTGGTAGGTAATCAAATGGTCGAGAAAAACACGAGAACACTGGGGTTAAACACATGAAATTGTTTCTTTAAGTCGTAAGGCCAGGGCGCTGGCAGTACTAATATAATTACCGCCCATCCATTACATTCCACGTCAAAACTACAGCGAGGTACGGGTACTTAAAGTGATTATTGCGAGTTTTTTGGCTCAGAAAAACGAAATATAGGCTAATATGTCTCACGCTGACGGTGGAAATATTCCTGACTTATACAAACATTCAAAACAACCAAGATTTTATCGCAGTTATAGCATAGAAAAATTGGATTTAACCACAGTCATACCAGCAATAAATTTTTCGTGGTCACGAGCTCTAAAAAATCACAAATGGCGTCCTCAAACAACCGAACAGAATCTAAACAAAAGGGCGTGCAATTCTGTTTGCGTAATATTATTTTGAGTTTTTATGTCAATAGATTCAGAAGACACTTATATGTCACTATGTCATTTCCGTGTTACTATCTTGACTAGCAATCCACAAGATGTATCTAATGAACAGACTTTATCGTCGCATTAGTACTAATCACTGTGTTCTCGCTAGTACGTTGCGCTGAGCAAGTTGAATGGCCACTTACGGAGCGCCTTACAGTACACATGTATTCATACCATACCCATGCGCGCTGTTATAATGACACTAATAATATATATATATAATATAATATACTATTATATATAATTATATACTCAGGGAGAAAAAATATAATTTATTTTCGGTGCTACTTGTTCAAAGCTCCGCGTGCATAAAATAGCAGCTCTAAATTTTGGTTTGCATTAACTCTATGCCAAATTTTACGCGGCGCTTCTTTTTGGCATTTCCATGGCTCTTTGGCATTTCGGGGCTAAATCGTGTATTTTTTTCAAACTGATATATATATATATATAGAAGATAGATAGTAGATAGATAGATAGATATAGATGTCTATCGGTACCAGTCCTTTACACTGTGACTGGCCACACAATTGTATTTCGCACATTGTCATCATCCTTCATAGGCTGCGATCAGCTTGTTCAGAGATATCTCCAGCCCTGATTATGTCACCTTGAAATCTATTCAACATTAAGCGTTTTCTGCAAGCACAGTTGCTAGCTAGCACCGGATGTTTTGTGGGAGGGGGGAGGATGGGGAGGAGGAGGAGGAGGGGGAGGAGGAAAGAGAACGGGAGGAGCTCGCTTCTGTAACAGCTGAGCGACAGAAACAAGCGTTTGTCTCACGTTTCCGTAAAGAAGCGTGAACGATAATGCGTTCACTCGTTAACGATGTTAGGGTGCTTGCTTTTATGTACGTGACACACATACAAGCTGTCGTATTTCCATCGTCATCGTTGGTGTCATCGTCGTCGTCATCGTCATCGTTGGCGTCATCGAGGATCCTAATATCCAGTATACAAATATTGCGCTGTGTAAATAGGTGAAAATTCGATGTGAAACGTTGGAGAATATTTGAAAGTTCCAGCACAAGGAGATCCATTCAAGAGCGTATAAAGAAGGAGAGCGTACAACGGTGAAATGCTGAAACCATGTTGCAGTATTAGTTGAATTAATAAACTTTCCCCGTTTTATTTCGACGATTCTTTGCAGTATCATTGATCAGCTCTCCTACCTTGTTAATATAAAACAAACCGCATGTCCCTACGATGCCCCTACGCTGAGATAATGAGCGGTGAAAATTGGTATTTCCGCCGAAAACCGACTCGAGATCCCTGTTTGCTGCGAGGCATTTGCTGATTGGCATTTGGTGGTAAACTCAAAACAGACTAGCGTCTATATGCTACACGAGAATATGCTACGCGTTAGCCAGGGAGTGTGGCCGCGAGAACCCGTACACGCGAATACTGATATTGTGATACTGTGTGACATGCATGCTGCTGAAGGAGTAGCTAGCTTCGTTTCTAAGGGGGTACCATTCTGCTGCTGAGTAGGTGCGCACAGCCGTCTATCATCATCATCATCGTCGTCATCATCGTTGTCATCATCATCATCATCGTCGTCATCATCGTCGTCATGTCATCGTCATTCGTCTCCTCTTCCTCTTCCTTCTGCTACTCCCTCGACTCCTCATCCGCCATCTTTCACTTCCTTCTCATACTCTCTAGTCTTCCTTTTCCTTTTCCTCCTCTTGCTCCTCGTCTTTCTCTTGTTCCTCCTCTTCCTCCTTTAACGCCTCCTCTTCCTCCTCTCCCTCCTGCTCCTCCTCTTCTTCATCCTCTTCCTCTTCATCCGCCTCCTCTTCCTCTTCCTCCATTTCCTCCTCTTCCTCCTCTTACTCCTATTCTTCCTCTTGCTCCTCCTCGTCCTCTTCCTCTTCTTCCTCCTCCTCCTCCTCTTCCTCCTCCTCTTTCTCCTCTTGCTCCTCCTCTTGCTCCTCTTCCTCCTCCTCCTCCTCTTCCTCTTCTTCCTCCTCCTCCTCCTCCTCCTCCTCCTGGACCTCCTCTCTACTATGGCCTCTTCTATCAGGTAATGCAACTGCTCAGCCTTAAAGCCAGTAGTGAACTTTTCTTGCGTTTACTGCGTTTACTTCTGCTAAGTCCTGGATATAGGCAGGGAGATTTACGTTCATTCGCGAAAACACACGATGCAATAATTGTCGCCACACTTTTCCCAGGTACAGCATATTTTCAGCGTTCTCCACTAGTGTTTAGATACAACGAGACAGCGTGCAATTAATATTTTCCAATAAACTTTTTATGGGTTATAACTTATTTAAAATGTAAGCAATATTAACAATATTTTCTCTCAAATAATTGGGAAAAAAACATATACGTAGACAAATTAGGTATCAACTGTTAGCGGACATATTACTGATACCCCAGCATAAAAACTCCCATGAGTTTGTGC